CTATAATCACAAATTTGCTGTATTGGCCACACATCTCCACGTTAAGGCCCCCAGCTGCTACTGCACTGCCTCCGGGACAATTAACCACTAATTTATCCCAGATATGACCTAATACCACCACTGTGTTACTAATGTAACTTATTTTGGCAAGGGACAACCATACCTAAGATGGGCCGAACCCATTATTCTCCACATGTTTTAACCAGCACTGCTTTCGAAGACCCTGAGACCCCTGCCAGCCTCTATGACAGTCAAAATGAACAAAATAAATGCCAATCAAAAAATATATTGGTATTGTAACATGAAAACAATCACTAAACAATAAACAACTAAACAGCTAAACATTTGAAATAAGGGAGTAAGGAAGAGATAAAAAAAAAAGGCTAGAGGAGGAATGGTGGAAAATACTTGATACTGGCAGAGCTCTGACTAGTCTTCATCAAGAACCTCCCTCCTCCCAGCAAACCAGGACCCACTCCTGTAACCCTCAACCCTCCGATTGGTTAACCCTCCAAACCTTCCTTTTTCAAGGAGATCAAGTTTGAATCTGTACAGGGACAGAGGGAACCTGTTTGGTGGACCCAATAAATAGACCTTCTATTATCCTTACAAGAAACACTGAGGGGAATTTTTCAAACATGGGGCAAACAAAATCTGGAGCAGATGTGCATGACAACTAATCAGATTGTTTCTTTCATTTTCAAATCATACCTGAACAAACTAAATTGAGAAGCAGTGGTGTCACAAGGGGGGTGCGGCTCGCACCCGGGTGACACCATTGTAGGTGGCACTAAAATGATTAACAGTCATTTTCTTCTCACCCCCTCTGAAAAGTCAGGCACTCGGTCATTGCCCGAGAGCCCAACAGTTTCAAGAGAGAGGAGGGGACTCTGCAGCATACATTATCCCACCGGGTGAGTGTCCCCTCCTCTCTCTGCCAGCGTCCATGATGGCCGCCGGCAGGTATCAATAGGACATTATCGTGCACGTGTGTGGTTTCCGCTCTGGGTGACACCCAGCCTCGAGACGCCCCTGTTGAGAAGTTAATTGGTTGTTATAGTAAACTTCTCCATATTTTGTCTGCTCCAGTCTTGATAAATTCCCCCAACTATCTGTAACTAATTTCCAGTGCAGATGTTTACTTGCATCTATGGAGATTACTTTAAGATTTCTTGCTCTATCACAGATGCTGAAACCTCATGAAATTGTTGACCTCCTCCTGAAACTGCTAATTAACTGTCTGTTAAGCTCTCTCACTTTAATGCTTTATGAGTTGCTAACTGAAAACACGCAAGCAAAGCAGGAATGTCAGAGAAAAGTCATTCTTTAAAGTAAATCTAAACTCTAACTGGATGATGTAATTTGCTAAAGCATCTTGTACCATAAGTGATTTCCATTTTTTCAATAAAATACTTGTTTTCACCTTTTTTTATTTTTTTCTTGCATCTCAGTGCAACTGATCACCTCTAGCCTCTTCCAACCACTTCCATTCTACATGCACTCGCTCCAGCGTTAGCTGCGCAATATTGCTCTGTACCAACACTAAACTCAGAAGTTAAATCTTAAAAATGCTTTCAAGTACCCAAACTATTAACAGAAATGTATCTTATTTGTGTATCACTCGGCTGTAGATCCTCAAAACATCCCTGAATTGGTGCTGGCACTGTCTTTCATTCTGGATGGTTCCTGTGTGTGTTGTAAAGTAGCTTCCAAGCTCGGTCCTGCAATGGACTACAATATCATGTTTTTTTTACTAATTTTTATTGAGAATGTATTCCATGACGGGAGCGAGGCTGGAGCGGCAACTACTTTACTTAACACACACAGGGACCATGGGGAACAACAGTAGCCACCCTCCAGAAGGAAGGACAGTGTCAGCACCAATTCAGAGATGATTTGAGGATCTACAGCCCAGTGATACACAAATAAGATACATTTTTGTTAATAGTTAAGGTACTTGAATGTATTTTTAAGATTTAACTCCTGAGTTTAGTGTCACTTTAACTGCCCAATTCCATTTCTCAACTTTGCTACAGGGCATGAGTGAACATGTAAACTGCTGACCACGTGTAACAAATTACGCAGTTTGCTGAGCCAAGCAGGAACAACAAAGGCCTTTTGATGTTGTCATTTGTCACTTTGATTTATAGTCTTAAAAGAAGCATAATCATGAATATTCTGATTATTTCTCAGCCTCCTTTCTGTTCTCTGAATATCTGACAATATCAATGAAGTCACATTAAACATCTGTTTCTGAAATAAAGCAGCCCCGTGCTGACAGCTGCTCCAGACAAAGAAATGGTGTACAGCTGTCACATTCGTACATTAGCAGTGGCTTTCAACTTCCTCAAGGCAAGAAAAAGAGGACAGTGCCTCTCTTTCGATTTTATTGCATGCAAGCATAAACACACATTATTAATTCTGGGTACCTGCGGAGGACAAATTGCTGTCTTTAACAGGCAAAGTACAAAGTTCTGGGAGAAAAATCATGTGGTCTGCACATCTGGAGAGCAGACTGTGGTTCTGCAACCACTTCCGTGTCATGAAATAAGATACGAGGAATTAAAGTAGATGTATACTAATTCAAAGACATTCAAAGACATTTAAAGCACAGTATACCATAAACAACTTCTAAATAGAATCTTTGTGTTCCCTTTTTTTTCATCCTTTGCTGCATCTCAGCGTGACTGACCTCCTGCAGCCTCTTTCTGTCTATATGCAAATTAGCGATAGATGCATTTTAATACATTACATTTTAATTTGAACAAAATAGAAAAAAAAAAATTATAGGAGAAAAAAAAAGGAGAATTACAGACAACCGGTATAGAAGACTGCCAGCACCATGAAAAGTTTGAACACTGAGCAAAAATTTGAGGCATCCTTGAGAAAACCAGGGCACCCCAAGATGCCAGGGCACCCTTGTTGAGAAAGGCTGCATTAGACACATATCTAACTCAAAGGAAAAAAATCTTCAACTTTATATACACATTCTGATGAAGCATTGTTAGCTGCACCCATCATTTGACCTTTCTTCACATGCAAATAGATAGAAATACCATGGTATACAAAAATCCCATTAAAACCCCAGTGTTTAGACCCATACACCTATAACAAGTTAAAGTAATATTAAACTCAAAGGAGTTTTAAGCTATTTGCAAATGCTGATTACATTACTTGTAATGGATGCTGCTTCTTAATGTGTAAACATTTTAGTTTCTTGCAGAATCAGCTGGTCTCCTAAACACTAGCCCTGCTATCTTGCTGTAAGGCAGCTGCTTTTCCTTGCAGGATCCTATGCAGCCACCCTTGTGTGTGCTAGTAAGCTGTGTGTGTTCTCACAAACATACAGACACAGCAAGGCAAGCCATTCCCCTGGTGCCTGCTAATCTCTTCTCCTTCCTGCTTCCTTCTCCCTTCTCCAAGCTAGTAGATGGACAGTTGCTGCAGACTGCTCTGTTCCTTGTGCTGAGGGATTTGGAGCTGGGTGTTCTGAAACAGGATGCCTTTAAGCCCTTGGGCAAATCTTGATGGTGACAATAGTGAACCATTCCTGCCTAATGTGTGTTGAAATTACCACATGTAGTCTACACTGCAAGCCTGTGTGACAGGGTGACAAAGCAGGATCATAATTACAAGACAAGGATAGAGCAAAGACACCCAATTACAGGAACCTAAAGAAGGACCTAAATGAGAGGATCACCACGTTATATTTTAATGAAAGTTGAAGATGTAAAAATATGTGAGATTGCAATAACAGGGTAAAGTTTATATAAAAATATAATGCCGTGCTTACACTATGGCACTAACTCAATGCCATTCATTTTGAAGGCCAAGTACCTGCCCTGCAGTGCACCACTATGCATTGCTATGCATTACCTTGTAGTATCCTGGGTTGCATTCCCAAAATAGAGTCAGGTGCTTTTTTTGCCATGATTAGGTGCATCAGAAACCTATTCAGATGTGTGGGCTGCCATCAAACAATGCACGCTACCACGCAATTTGACAAGAGTTAATGCACCAACGCACAAGTGTAAACTCAGCTTTAGTGATTGAACCTACCTTTACTTTATAATACATATAAAGTCAAAACTTTGGTTTATTTTTGCTTTGGATAGCGTGAAGAAGACTTAGACCATCTGTCATGATTTTTTTGCTGTTTCTGTCCTCAATGGGAAGATGTACCACTGTCACCAAAACAAAAAGTGACCCGGGCCATGCTGCGGTGATGCTAAGAAAAGCAATCAAATTACTAAAAAATGGATGGTAAAAGAAAGGCATTTTTTATTTCCCATTTTCATTTATTTCCTGGTGCTGGGTCCTCTTGTTTACATATAGAAATATCCAATGAGATTAGAACCACGTTAAAAGGAGTTGTCAAGTCCCAGCGTATACTATTCTATTACAACATCAGCATTGTAATAGGAATACATACTAGAGTTGTTTTTGATAATGCAATCTGCCTTCCATCTTTCCCTGGCAACACTCTACACCGCCATATATAATTATATGACCAATATTATGGCTTCATTTTAATTTTCAGGCTCAATTGGATAATCAAATACTTTTGTGGTTGTCTTGTTCGGTATCTGGATATATTTACAAAAGTGGTACATTGAGTAAAGTTGAAAAGTGGATTACTTTCAACAGAACACAAGCTTTCAATAGAAACATAAATTAAATTCTTATTGGTTGCTATGGCATTATGTCTGGCCGTACTGGAAATGTTTGTTCTTTTTTTTAATATCAGGAAATAATACATACACATAATCGTTTATATTTAAGTATTACACAGTCAGTACAATAAGTGTAATAAACCATAACAACCAATAGGCAATAAGTAAAATAACCTAAAACAAGGAATAGTCTTCTAATACCATTAATAAACGAATTCTAATTAGTTGCTATGGCATTCTGTACTTTATTTGCAGTATTGAAAATCCTTCTAGTTTATTTTTTTCTTTTAATGGCAGTATACAATGCATTCAAATGAAAGTACTTACTTAAGTATTACACAGCCTGTGCCAATAGATGGAGCAGTCCAGAAGACCTGTATCCGTGTCCTTCGCCTTGGCGTGCTCTCCGTAACAGCTACAGGGCAGTTGCTCATAAACTGTGTATCTTCATCATCTATAATCTGCAAATTAAAATTCATGGTTAATTACATACTGACACTAAACTTGCCATAAGAGATTATTAGTGAATAATGGCCCATTGAGCAAAAGTAATGAAATTTCTGCCGTGAAGGAATGGCAACCATGTGCGCTGGAATTTTAGTATTATAGTGAGCGTTGATTATCACCTTTCGTTTTTATGAAGTGCTTCTGTTCTTTTTTTACTCTCCTAAAGGGGATGTGAAGGAAAGCTATAAAACACTTGTATTTGATTGCTAAAGTTTAATATTGTGGCTAGAATTTGTTAACTTAATTACACTGTAAAGGCTCTGGTTTTACCCTGTCTTTCCTGCTGGTGGCGCTGTGTTTTGCGGTGTGTCGGCATGTGCTTCTAGAGACCACCAGCAGGTGTCCCCTCTCTTCTTGGGGTGGCACTTATCATGGTGAGAAGGCCATATGTTCCTACCAGAGTCTAGCTCAGGTGCGTTAGTATTTTCTAATAGAAAGGTAGCTGCACAACACTGCATAATTGAGTACTTTCCTCCCCAGCCTTACTATCTGTGGCCCACCCCTCTCATTCATTGGATTGCAGTTCTTTCAGTGAAGAAGGCTTGGCATCACATGTGGGCATTACCTAGGGCAGTCTGCAAGCAAATACAGTTTGCCTAGGAACGGCCACTGCTCCAAACTGACATAACTCTTCCCAAGAGTCAGCCCACTGCTTGCATCAGGGCTGAGGGCATTCAAGAGCAGTACTGAGCCAGGGTGCTGTGATGTTTTCAAGATGCTAGGCACAGCACCCTGCCAGCTCCTCCACCAGTCACAATCTGCCTGCAATGCATGAAGTAGCACAAAGAACCTGTGATGACAACATTGTGTCCAAAATAAGGTATGCAATAAAATTGAAAAGGATTTATTTAAAAATTGTATTAGCATGTTGAGGAGGAAAAGGAGGAACCAGTGAGGGCAACATATAAGCAGATTAAACGTCAGATTTAAAACCATTAATAGCTTTATAATGAAAATGAAAACCTTTTATATAAATCACACAAACCATATTAATTACCAAAAGGATAAACAGTAAACTCAATAAGACCATTCTAAATGACTTATGCCATTGCACTAATGGAAATATCTATAATTACTGATATACTAAGAGATAACAATATCCCTCCCAGCACAAGTGACAGAGAGGATGGCTGAAACACCAAAAACCTAAGGGGTGATGTTAATGTGAAAACAAATGTATAATATCCCTCAATCATACTGGTGGGGAAACATCCCAACCAAAATTCCAAACAAAAGGAAAAACAACATTAAAATTGAATATAAATTGAATCCCTCACACAACATACAAAAACAATTCCCCCCTTATCACTTCTTTCTGGGCCACCAGATTTCCTCTGGCCTGAGTGTCAACTCACTGACTGGAGTAGTGATGTCTGCTTTACCACCCAAGTCATAGTTGTGGATCGTGCTCCCTCCTTCTTCAACAAAGACATGATGGGTGCAGCTTGGAGGTCTGCAGTAAAGGTAGCCCATGTTTTGTCATGATTACTTATTTGCTGACTACATATTATAATAGCTACCTGTTTGCTGCCCATGTAGTGCCATTATAGTCCAAATGTTGACTACCTAATGTAATAATTAGCCATATGTTTACATGAATCACAATGTTTACCTTTTTGTTGACCATGTATTGTAATGTAGTGCCATGACTACCAATTTGTTGCCTTTTTTTGTTTTTTTTTTGTTTGCATTGCCAGCACTGCCTGTCCATTACTCAGGTAGAGCCAGGATTACCCGATTGTTGGCTACATTTGTTATTCACCTCCTGTCATAATTATCACTGTGCTACCTACTGATTATTAACCATGATTGCCAGTGTGTTGCCCACATGTTGCCAACAATGGTCACTGATTCAACCCACAACTTCCCACCTATCAATATACTATACTAAATAAATTGGAGCAGGTCTAATAGTGGTCATAAGGAGGACAACTGCTGTTCAAATGCACCTGTCAGTGGATTCTAAATGATCTCTAGTGCCATCAACACAAGCCCAATGCCCATCAATCAAGCCTTTATAGTGTCCCTTGCTGCTGGGCTGGAGGTTGGCTGAGACATAGTGGTCAGCATGGGTCCTAAGGCAGATTGCAGGTAACAGCAGGCCTGTAGAGTTCAATGCATCTTAGATCCCGTTACAGCTTCCTTTAAAGATATAACCTGTATTTTAAAATATGGAATCCCAGATGCTTTCTTATATCAGGGGGGGTCTGAATGATCAGACTCCTCTGTGTATGCTCAGATTCACAGTTGTCTTGTCTATTTTTCCCTATTTATAGCAGGTTTCAAACAGAAACATGCCAACCCTACTGTCATCAGTTTAAGCTGAAACATATCACATGAAATGTGTATATTATTTTAGACTGTCAGCATGTCACTTTACTGTATGACATTTTATTGGTAAAGCATTTGCATGGCACTCGAGAAATTACATTTTGGAAATACATCTCAAATCCTGAACATATGGATCTCCAACAAACAGAAAACATAGCTGCTTCCTTTTCTTTCCCAGACAATAATTTATGTTCATTGAAAACAATAATATTATAATTAGATACTTTACTTGTATGCGGCAGATGTCTCTCATAAGAAATATATTACATCTGATCCCTGCAATGCAATCAAAAGCAGTAATAATCACAGTTATGCAATCATTCAGTTAACTTATTATCTTCCAGTTCTGCCTTATGGAATGAGTTTAATCGAAATTATGAATTACCTTCTATACTTGCATGTCACTGACCCAAGTATGGAATATGAAATTGTTCCAAGGAGTCTATTAAATTCCGATATCAATTTAAGTCAAAAATGTCATGGATAATGATACATGAAAAGATGAACAGCATACTTCATGACAATGAACAAAAATTTGAGCTAATCTGGTCTCCTTGGATGATATATAATGGCCTGAGAGACGAGATATGATGCAAGATGGACTTGGGGTGGAGGGGAAGACCGGAATGTTAGCAGTATAGGGGAATTTGTGTCTATGTGTAAGTATGACTTGTATATGTGTTGTTGTCTGTGAATTTAAAATAAAATAATTTGTAACATAAATTCCGATGCCTAACAGCAGAAAATAAGAATATTACAATGGTAATTTAGGCTTTTTTTTCTAAGTGGTTTTAATGTTTCTTTGCAGCTGTTATTAGGTCCAGAGATGGTTTTTCCGGGAAGTTATACATTAGAAACTTTCTATATCTAATAGAGTTTTGCATATGTATTACTAGTGGGGCATTTTGTTTGCTCTTTGAAAGGGTTCAAAGCTGTCTATATAATGTATTGGTGGAATATGGGCACCTCTGGACATCTAAAGCCAATTTTTGTTGTTGTTTTGGATACAATATAAAGGGTTTAAAACCCCTCTCTTTTTTTTGTTTGTATCTCACTGTGGAAAGAAAATTACTTCCACTTCCTGTACACAAGAGGAAGTAGGAGGAAGTCTTTCCAAAATGTGTAATATCTCCTCTTAGAAAAGTTCCCTTGAATTCTGTCCCAGCGACAAGTAAGAATCATGGATTTCTCTTCACTTTGTGTCACTAGGACACATATGGGTTGATTTATAATCCATTTACACAACAAACAGATGTGCAAACGAGATTTGCAGTTCATTATAGACACTTGATGGAACTGATGTGCATAGGAAATTATTGTTCATTCTGCAAATGGTTTATAAATCAATCTAATAGTAAGGGTGAATCTCCCCAGTTGGGCACAGACAGCACTAAGCACTTGACAGGGTTTCTAACGCTTCCCCATGCTATCCAAAACGTGAAAAATACATTTTGGATATAGGTACACTTTAAAACAAACCTGGAAAATTCAGTCTAACCATATGATGAAATTGTAAAAGCAGAGATTACCTGTGAAAATAGCATGCCAAAGCGAAAAGTAGATAAAGAGATAGAGGCAGATGAAGTGTTGGGCAAATCTTGACTTTTCATGCAAAAGTCAAGCTTGGCCCCACATTTCCTTCCCTTCCCAGCTGACCTGTTGGCCCTTAAATATGACTCTAAATATGGGAGAGTTCAAAATCAATCATGGCTTTTAAAGGAAAAGTCAAGATTAACAACCCAACTGTCTATAACTCTCGATCTCCTCATTGCTTTGACACGCGCATTTCACTAAAGATGACCTCCAATCATGCATTTGTTTTTGTCATATGCGCAATCTAAATTTCCCAGTTTAGGCAGTTTATATATTCAGGGATTTTGCCCATTAAGGACAAAATGACAAAAGGTTCTCTTGAAAGAACATTCTGTTACTCATTGATAGTCACCACCTGTGTGCTCCTGCACCATTCATTTATCCATCTAAGAAGGGAGTCCATACCCAGTAAAAGCTCCAAGAATGAGGAAAGGGGTCAATAGGTCCCTAAACTTTGGTTATTGGGGCCTAATTTTCCACGTGAATGCTATTACACGCTGCCAGTTTACACTGTTTTTATTAATGTTACTATGCTGTTTGTTACTGTATACTGTAAGTGTTAAGTGTATAGTACCATGGTGATGCGTTACTATTCTCTGTGACATTTAATACAATGGCATACCATTGCTGCCATTAGGCCTCATTCACATGGATATGCACAGCTGTACAGCATGCATGGCCATGCAGAAACCTGCTCTCAAGAGAGACGGCTAGTGTGTGCAGTCACCTGTACATGTCAATCACAGGATGCAGCTGCACGCTGCTACATATGGACCTGAACTTACACGTCTGTATCTGACCTCTGTTGCTGCCTGCGAGGAATGCATCTGGATATACAGTTGACAGCTCCTCACGGAGGCAGTGCACATCAGTGCACCTACTACCACCCCCTTACCACCAGTGCACCAGCACCACCACCCCCTTCACCACCGTGCCCACACTCACCTTCCCGCCACCATTGTACCTTCATGCCCCCCAATCCCCGTGGTTTCACCACCACAGCTAAACCCAATCCTCCTCCCCCTGCACT